CTGTTGGCAGGGGGGGTTGTCAGCGGTGTTGACAAGTCTTCCCTCCTGCACACCTCTCATCCATTCTGAGTGCCGTCATCGCACCAGACATAGCAGCTGGACACATCGACCCCCCCGTCCCCACCCCCTGGCCAGTATCCTTCTGTCAACCCAGACCCTCAAAGTGTAGGGTGTCCCACCCCCGTGCTTCCCAGCGGCCACCACTGCTACTCCTCCGCTTTGTTATTTGAGCACGCTGCTAATTTTTGTCCTGGGTTGCTAGAGAGAGTTGTGTTTTTATAGTGGGGGCCAGAGTTGGGTTGGGGGGGAGTGGGTGTGGGGGAGGGGGGGGATGAGCTTACCCAGCAACATCAGGCCCCTGTTAGCATCTAGTGCTCCAGGCCTGCATATCGGCCCCTCATCGCTGTACTGTCACTGATGATCAAGCTGCTCAATGACTGTAGAGACGTGACAAGCAACTGATGAGGATTTGCACTTGAGAATTTTTCTTCACTGCAGTAACATCAAAATATCTACACGCTCTCCTGGCAACAATAATCACATCCTCACGATAAGAGACGACAGTAACTGATACCTGTTTACAAAAAAGCTGCACTGATAGGATAAACATTCAGTAAGATATACTAGTGAACTTTGTGGTAGTGGTTAGAATGCCTGCCTTGCAAGCAGAGAACAGGGAGTCCTTGGTTTGATTCCCAGAGGATCCCTAATGGTGCTCGCCTCTGTTGTTGGCAAAGACTCACACTGTAAATGTCCACTTTGTGGGACAAATAACAGGCTCCATTCCAAAAATTGAATTTTCTCAGGACGTTGTCAGATCTCATTTGGCACAAACTACGAAAGTGCAGCATTTTTTAACTTTTATTCCAGGGTGAGTGAGACCTAGGATTTTCTTCAAAGTGTTATTTTTTTCATAACTTGTACTGAAAACTGTCTTCTTTCACTGACAGCACAACTGTCCAGTGGGAAATGTGGACCTACAGGGAAGGACAGCCCTTCATGACGCAGGTGAGACTTAACACCGATTTCTCAGTTGACTTATTAAGTTTGTCTTTATTTTAGGCAGCAATTGTGAGATTGTGAATTGCAGTAACATTGATGAGTGAATGTCAGCAGACATGTCTCTGCTCGTGACTTGAACTGGTTGTAACCACTTTCTTCTCCTCAGTCATGGCGGGCTGCGTTTCCAGTGTGAAACTCCTGTGTGACAGCGGAGCTTCAGTGAACGCCACTGATTTTGTAAGAATTGCTTTTCCCTCAACTTTCACTGACTGTGTTTTAATGATCCCTTCTAAGGTGTAATTATTTTTGCCAGGGCAGGTGAATGAAGAAAAAAAATGTTACCCCCTGCTTCATCCTTGAAGCAGTTTTCTTGTAATGACGGTCGTTAAATGTATGAAAGGTCTGTCAGAGTGGCTCACAATGTGTTTACTAAACTATACACAAGGTGTATAACTATAATTACTTTTTAGACTGTGTTTTGAAAATTATTTTTGCTCTGAAATGACATATTGACCTGTGTGACTGTATGGAACTACAAGATACAACAGTCACACGGTGAAACTTTGTGTTTGTGCTGTGTTTTTTGTCCAGGATGGACGAACGTCTTTGGGTCTGGCCACACGGATGTGTCACTCTCGCATTTGTCAACTGCTGTTGGAGCGGGGGGCCGACATCACCCTACGGGACAAGCAAAATAAGTAGGAGCTTTTAAATATGTTCATTTTAAAAATGTTGTTTTTTTGATACGTAATTATCGGAACATAAAAAATATTGATATTGTCCAAACACCTAATTTCCGATATCGACTGATATATGCAGCCGTTTTTCGGCTCGGATATTTGCTCTTGGGACAAATTAAAAACAAGAGATTAATCCTTAATGAGAAGACATAAACCATAAATCAAATTTCTTCTCTAAATAGCCCTTTAACAACCCAACACCTTTGTTGACTCTTCTTAGAACTGCCCTGATCCTGGGCTGCGAGTACGGCTGTAAGGACGCCGTGGACGTGCTCCTGAAAAGTGGAAGTGACGTGAAGGCGGTCGACAGCTTGGGTCATGACGCCTTTCACTACGCCCGCCTCAGCAAAAACCCGGAGATGGTTGGTCTCGTCAAAAGTTACCTGGACAAAATCACCAGAGGTACAATAGATGGGGCAAATATATGGTAATATGTTTGGGATAAACCTAGCTTTTAGTGTTCCTTTATTAGTGAATAAGAAATGCCATGGCTTTTCTATTGGTGATTTGCAGATTCATGCTGTCTGCTCTGTACACACAGACTTTTTGTGCTCTTTTGTTTTAGTCTCTAGTTTCTTCCTTGTGTAAATTTCCTTTCTGAACTAAGAGCTTTTTCTTTTTTTTTGTCCTTTGTTTCAGACAAAGAAGCTGCAAAGCTGGAGTGGAAGCGACAGGTAAAGCTACAGCTTTGAGCTTTACGCTGTCGCCTCTCATTAGCTCTAACCTTGGTTTCGCTCGGAGTGATTGTTTTTCACTCTTTTTGTGTTGGACATTGCAAGAGAATGTCCTGCGATTTAAAAGCCCCGCTTCTCAGTGCAGTATAAGAGTAAGAATTTGTCACCAACTACACTCAGTACAGGAGATTTTCTTTTAAAGAAATATCTGTGCATAAAGTCCAAGGACTGACTGCAGACTTCAGATCTGTCCCCTATGGGAACTGTCTGGTGGAACTAAGGAGGAGAAACACTCTTTGGGGAATGCGAGTGGTTGGATGAGAAGAGCAACAGAAGTGACATTTCTGCACTGACACTGTTGGTTCATTTATTTTGTTTAAAGATTAAAAATGTTTAAAATGTGTTGGTATTCCAAAGCTTTTGTTGACGTTCTTAGTCACAGTTCTTCCTGTCAGCTCTTCATCCAAGTACCGTTTCAGGATGGTATTGTACAGGATGTTGTACGTGGAAGGACAGTGTGACCCAGAAAAATCTGAACAGAATGTGGTCCAGTCAGACGAGGCAAAGGGAATGTGCAATACCTAAATGACTATGGTTGTGAATGACTGACATTCCACAGACTCAGGGCGTGTGATAACACATCAATTATTGTTAGTCTCAAATTCCTTGAAGTGTCAGTACTACACATGTTCGTCACACGCACACAATAAATAAGACAGAAAAATCAGCCTTCAACCAATCAACCTTCAACGGCAGAGATTGAGCTATATTTAAGTATTTAGCTCCTATAGCTTTGTTATGTATATATTTTTATATGCATATATATTTATATATTTGTGTGTACATATATGTAGTATGTATTTATATGCATTTCTTGTGCTCTACAGCTGCTTTTCCCAGCCTCAGACACTTGCTGCATATATATACAAGACTGCCATCTAGTGCTTACAAATAAAATTGGTATCGTTATAATAAAATGTAAATGATTGTAACTATATTCTGCCTCCTCAGCATTCTGTGGAGAGGTCAGAAGCAGCTGAAGCGAACAGGAGGGATGTGATCATACATGTAAGTTTCACCCTACTCACCGTCTTCTATACCATTATCAACACTGCAGCATTATTTTCAGAGGGTGGGTTTATGTTTACATAAGAGTTGTGTATTTTTAAATTCTAATGGATGGATGTGTGTTTCAGGACCTGGAGAAACAGAACGAGACTCTGCAAGAAAGTCTGAAAAAGTACCACCAGGAGCAGAGAACCCTGTTAGACAAGGTTAACATACTCCAGCAGCAGCTCTCACAGGTAGATGAATCACTCCACCTAACAGAATTCTTACGTCATCGTGGTTTGTTTGTTATAACCCCTATTTTCTTGAACATGCAGGAAAAAATAACTTCAGAAGACACTCAAAAAGAGGTAAAAAAAAAAAACAAAAACAAAAGATTTCCATAGATAAACCCAAGTTTTACAAACCTTTCATTGTTGCTTTTTCCTTTAAATTTGCTTATATCTTGCTTTTTTTTTTTATTAGAAGGAACACTTGAAAGTGTTACTCATTGCAAAAGAACGTGAGGAAGTGAATCGAGGAGCAGAGACTGTCAAGGTCCAACTCCGGAGTACCTTGGTCAGTTTTATATGGTTTTTTTTTCATATATGATATGAAATATCAGTCATTGTGTTGCTCAATTTTGTCGTGCTTTCGTCTCCATAGGGTGACTATTCTGGGCAGTCTGTCATCAAAGGTCAGTTTCTCTGAGTTTCCCTGAATGCCACATATCTTCATGTTATTATTCTAAACTGTAATCTCCATGTTTGTTCACTGGTGTCTTGCAGGCAAGGAAAACATTTTAGTCAAACAGGCCCACAGCTTGGATTCAGATCAGGTACATTTTTGTTTGTTTTTATCCAAACGGAAGTCTTCCGGATTGTTCTCACACTAATTAGGCCTGATGTTGTGAAATCAGGGGAGGGAGTTGAAGCTTATGTAACCTTGTAGAATATTTGTAAAAGAAACTCATAAAACCTGTTGGTCTTTTTTTTTTGTTTGTTTCTCATAGACACTCCAGAACCATGCCATGCTGCGTTCCACATCGAGACCCCCGGAAAGGAGTCCACCAGCTGTACCCTGGGATCTCTCTAATGAACTGGACACACTTAGACATGAACTTGAAACCGTCAAGAGGAGACAACACGCTGCTGAGGAAGAAACAACACGACTTCAGTCTGCCCTAAACCGTAAAAACAGGGAGTATCAAGAACTAGTGGAGAGCCGAGACACCATCCAGAAACAGGCTGACCAGCAGGTCCAGGAACTGGAGGACGCCCTGGGGGATGTCCAGAAGAGGATGCTGGACTCCGAGTGTAAGGTCAAACAGCTGCAAGCCCATGTGGTCGCTGTTAAGGAGCACTTAGGAGGCCAGGCAAACGAAGAGCTGCGTGTCCAACTCCAAGACATCAAGGCCAAGTACGAAGGTGCCTCGGCTGAAGTGGGTCGCGTTCGAAATCGCCTCAAACAGAGCGAAAAAGCTTTGGAGGAGTATAAGTCGAGCGAGAGCCAGCTAGCTGCTGAAGTAGAGAGGCTGAACCAAGACGCTGCATCTGTGACCGCAGAGCGTGATGAGCTTGCAGAAGCTCTGATCCAGCTGCAAACCCAACTGAAGGAAACTCAGACTAAACCTGTCAATACTGTACCAGCCGAGAAATTTGACAACATGAAAAACCTGCTGACAAACGCGGTGGACGAGAAGGAGCGGCAGCTGGCTGAGCTGCGGGAAGACTACGACCGTGTGCTAGAGGAGGTGGCAGAGCTGCACCGGCAGCTGGATAGTCCGTCGACACTGGGAGCATCAGGGACGATGTCCGCTGAGGAGCAGGAGAGGATCAGGGCAGCTCTGGAAGAACAAAACGCCTCACTGAAAAGGAAGCTGGTAGAGATCACCTCCAAAAGCCAGGCTCTGATTCAGGAGGTGACGGAAACAGAAGAAGACCGTGACCTGCTGAGAGACCATCTGGACGAGCTCAACAGCAGGATCGAGACGGACTTCGTATCTTTAGAAGAGCACGAGGAAACCCGGAGGACAATGGTCAACACTTTAGAAGAGCTGGAGGACAAACTGGTGGAAGCCAGCGAACGTTACGGCCGTGCAGAAGGACAAGTTCAGCAGCTCCAAACCGAAAGGTCCACCCTGCAGGAGAGCATTAGGAGTCTTCAAAGTGCCAAAGAGAGGCAGCAGAAAGAAAAGGACACTCTGAAGGCCCGGAATGCAGAGCTGACAAAAGAGCTCGAGCTGCTTCAGAAACGATGTGAGGACAGAGATAAAGAATGTGTGCAGTTGGCCGCGCAGAGTCAGACTCTGAAACAGAGCCTGAGGGGGGAATATATTTCCAGACAGCAGCACGAGCAGGTGAAGATGGAGTTGGGCTCTGCCTTGGAAAGCATCAGAGCGGAGATGTTGAAGTTGGAAAACAAGGAAAAAGAAAGTGTGGAAGAACTGAAGAAGGTGAAAGAGGGAAAGGTTAAGTTAAAAGAAGAGTTGGAAAAAGTCCAGATGGAAATGAAGAAAAGCTACATTAGTGTGAAAGACCACACGGCTGTGACGGAGAAACTGAACGCTGCTGTGGCTGAGGCGGAGAACAGATGGAAGGAAGCATCAGATAAGTACACGTTGGCCCACGAGGAAACGGTCAAACTAACCCAGGAGCTGGAAGCTCAGAAGAGAGAACTTGACACAATTCAGGAGGCAATTCAGTCCAGGTTTATTCCACTGACGGCAGCCGAGGAGAAACACCACATCTATAGCACGCAGGTTAAAGAGTTGACAGTCAAGCTGTCAGAAATGGAAGAGAAATATGAAAAAGAAAAAACCGCCAAAGTGAACAACAAGCAGGAGAGCGAGCAGCTCCAGCTTGTGATAGAATCCCTCCAAAAACAGCTGGACACTGCCGTGGCTACCAATGACAAGCACAAGGAAATGGAGCGGGAGTTGATGTGTAAAGTGGAGATACTGACTGAGACGTTGGTTGAGTTGGAGAAGCAACACAAGGAGGTGAACTCCCAGAAAGACGATCTCCAAGAGCAGAACGCTCTCTGCAGGTCTCAAATCCAGAATCTCCAGGATCGTCTGAAATCAGAGTTGACCCGGATAGCGACTTATGACACGGAGCTCAAAGCCCTCCATGACGCCATGCAGCAGGCCCAGGTCGATTGCAAGAGGGCAAGGGAGGCTCAGCAGGAGGAGGCTCAGAGGGTGAGCGATCTACAGAAGGAAGTGGAGGAGCGCCACGGTGATCAGACTTCTCTGATGCAGCAACACGCCAAAGCCATGGAGGAGATGGAGACCGAGGTACACAAGCTTCAAATGGCTCTTAGGGAAGAGGAGGAGATCAACGCCCAGAGGGCAGAGGACGTGTCCGCTCTGCAGTCTGAGCTCCTACAGGCCACACAGGCTCTGGAGGAGATCCGGGACAAGGAAGACCAAATGAACCAGCTGAAGAAGGAGAAGCAGCAGCTTGGGGAGGACGTGGCCAACCTGAGGATGAAGCTGCTGAGTTTAGAGGAGGAGTGCGAAGAGGCACATCAGCAGTCCCAAAAGGCCAAAGAATGTGAGAGCCAAGCCCGGGCCGACAAGGAGGCCCTGCAGGAGAAGAGGTGTGCCATCGAGAGGGAGATCAGAGAGCTGAAGGAGAGATACGACGAGTCGCTCAGCACCATCGGGGATCTTCAGAAGAGAATCCAAACGTCATCTCAGCAAACTGAAGCTAAAGACAAGAAGGTGAGGGAGGGCATAGTAGTTAATAGTAGTACTTGTTTACTAGACAATAATAGAACATTCTGTAGAAAACACAATGAGAGGCAACAGATTTAATTATAACAGAGAGTGCTGCATTTATCTTTTTTTCTTATGTCCTGTTTTTATAAATAAGTTTCCATGAAATAAATTGATGTCTTAATCTAATTTTTTTTCACAAAAACTTTGCTCTCAAATTAAAAATGTATTTAAAATGGATGAACCTCCCATAATGAACTGAAGAGCCATTGTTAATGCTGTGAGTGACAGCTGTCAAAGTGTGAAACGCCTGTAGAAAAACACATTGTGTGCATTTTGAAAGACATGTCTTTTGTTAAAGTTCAAACCCACATTTTCTGCGAAAAAAATATTCTGACAGTAATTCTTGATTGTGTTCATGTGTCAGATCACGGAGTTGCTGACAGACGTGGAGCGGTTGAAACAGGCTCTGAACGGTCTGTCACAACTGGCCTACACCAGCAACGCACCCAACAAGAGGCAGACGCAGCACATCGACACACTCCAAACCCAGATCAAGAGCCTGCAGCAGCAGCTGGCTGTGAGTAGTGAACGCAACGATATATACTGGATTAATAATTAAAATGTATGCAGTGTTATACAGTTAGTTTTAGTGAAAGAAAATGTTTTTTTTTCTATTGTTAAATACTGTATATATGTGTGTGTGTTGGTAAATATATATATGTATATGTGTGTGTATATATATAAATATATATACACACAACATATTTATGTAATATATATATATATATACTTTTTTTAACAAATTTAATTTTATGTGAAAAACCTTACCACTAGTCTGAAATATATATATATAATATAATATATATCAAAAGGGAAATCCTGTACAATATTAGAATGAAACATGATTTTAGACACAGCTGAGGATAAAAAAAGTGACAACAGTTCCATCTTCATGTTTGTCTTTTCTATCTGACCAGGATGCTGAGAGGCAACACAGAGAGGTGGTCTCAATTTACCGGACTCATCTTCTCAGTGCAGCGCAGGTGGGTTCATGTCATTGTTTACCATTTCAAAGATCAACTCTCACCTGCAGAAAAGTTCTCTCCATAATGTGTCTTATTTCAATAATTAAAATCTATGCTTTACAACTGCCAGTTATGCATTCTACTGTTTTTACTTTTTACAGCACATAGTAATCTATTCCTTGCTACTGCTAACCTGTAAACAAAAAAACATTGTTTGTATTTAGGAAGCAACAGCTGTTATCAACCTATTTTCATGCTATGAGAAGCTCATTATTGTTTCAGTTTTATTACAACAAGGCATCGTGCAAATGTGTGATTGTAGCGATGCACATTAATTCAACAAAACTGCATCTTTTAAAAGATGAGGGGAGTGACTATTTGTTCTTTTTTTTCCCCTCTCATTCTTATAGGGTCACATGGACGAGGACGTCCAGGCCGCGTTACTACAGATCATCCGCATGAGGCAGGAGTTTGTGTGTTAGACTCTCTGCTGCTCAGACTCCACATTTTCACCGTGTCCTGCTGCTGTGGCCCCCGGGGGTTGATCCACGTTTGTGTGTTTGTGTTGTGCAGTAAAGCGTCTTTCAACAGAATCCATTCTGTTCTCATGTGGCTGTTCCCTGCCCCTTTTCTGTGGATTGAACCCAGTATATTCAGTGATGTGGAAGTTATTTGAAACATGGGTAATCTTTTCATAGATGACTTGAAATACTCAGCTGAAGGTAAAAAAAAAAAAGAAACAAAAAGATTACATGACAGCAAGAAAGACCACTTTTCACATTCCCACCTGACAGTCAGCTCTCAACTGAACAGCATCTTGTGTTGTTGTTTCTTAAGGATATGTTCACATTTTTCCCATATTTGACCCTAAAGAAATATCACATTTTCAAAATGGATTTTTCATGGTTTTACGGCCCTTTATATTTTGGAATATACAGGGAGAATTTGGTATTTTCTGAAACAGAGAAACCAGATGATCTGAAAACACTTAAAAACAGAGGAATCATAATTATTGTTCCTTAGAATAAATTTCAAGGAATAGTTATAGTTTGAAGCTTTTGACTACTTTACTGCCAAAAGTCAACCATTTTCAAAATTATTCTGATTTTGTGGTTATTTTATTAGAATGAAACTCTTATTAATATTATCAAATAAAATAAATACAAACAGTATAATAATAATAATAATAATAAAGTGATTATTCCAGCTATTTCTAATGTTTGTTTTTTAAAATAGACACAGTAACTATCTTTGAATTATTGAAACTTAGAAAAATGTGAACATATCTCTTTTTTTCTTTGTTCATGTTCTGTCAGACATTTCAGAGTCTGACTCAGTCTAATCTCCCAAGGTCCAAATCCTCATGTTTCTAAATAATTCAGTTTGACAATTTACCAAAGTTCTTATGTGGTTTTCAAAAAATCTGCCATTTTGGTCACTGGCAAAAAAAAAATCTTTGTCAATTTGGGGAAAATTTCAGTTTTATTTCTCACACACTGGGGTTTGTTTACTCCGTGCTTTTTGTGCTGGATTTGAATCATGGAGATTTGCAGTGGGAATCTCTTGCTGTGTCCTTCAGGTTGCAGTGGCACGTTGTCCCTTTTTTTTTTTTTTTGAAACTAGAGTGGCCTCTAGTGGTAAGACTTGGCTGGCCAAGTTTTTAGGTAATTGTAATAACTAGTTACAGCCCAGGGGTGGGCGTTAGGGCGTTTGTCAGAGCTGCAACGTGTTCATGTTTGTAATTTAGGTAGGTAAAGGTAAATCTCACCAAACTAATATTTACAAACGACCTATTGACAGACAGCGTTTTAATTTTGACCTTGTGGAGATCTTGCGGCGCTGCACACCCCTGAGCTGGCTCTTTGTTTCTTTCTGGTTTTAGTGTAGTGATGATGTGATTGTGGAGCGAGTGTCTTGTGCCTTTTACACTGATATATTTTTCATAGCTTTATAATACTGTAATCAATGAACTACAGTATGACGATTCTGACATTCAGCAGGTCTGGAAGTAATAATGGCACAAAAAAAACATTCAGGGTAACAGTCATTGGAGGATGTATTTAGAACAGGTCTCATTTCAGGTGAACACACAAACAAACACCCAAAACAATTTTTTTTTCTTTAGCTCACTTTTTGCCAAGTAATATTTCTTCCTGTTTTTATACTTTGGCCAGAAATTCCATTCACACCAACAATTAGTTTATAGAAAGCTGTATTTTACTACATTTTGATGCACTGGCGTTGGCGTTAAACACTAACTCTCTTAGATGTTTCTTATTGTCTTCTTTTCTCTGGTCAGCATGGATTCAATGCAGTCAATCTTTCATACGTACATATTTTTACAAAACAGTTTAAAATGGTTGTTCTGTTGTTAACATTATTTGTGTTTGTGAATGGGATTAATAATACAAAACCAATAAAAGTGCCTAACATGGAAAACTAAAACTCTGTTGGTTGTATTGTTTTTAATGAAAAACTATCCTTGGCTAAATACCAGAGTCTCTAACAACCACCATACCCTGGACCAGTACCGAGTACAGAAAAAGAAATAACTTTTTTTTTTTTAATAATCACTGCAACGTAATATATTTGGAAAATGAATGGATTGCATACTCTTAAATATATATTTGTCACATAACAGTGATAGGTACTTAGTTAGGTAACGTTAATCATCATAGGAAACGGGTGATGCTTTCAATTGTTACTAAAAAACAAAAAAACTAACAACTGATATAGGGTCAGTTTACGTTTGTAACTCACCGGCTAATGTTCGAACGGAATCTCTAAGTGCTGATCTCAGGTCAGTGATAGTTTAGCCAATGTGCGCGGGGCCGCGCTGCACCTTTCAATCTGGTTCAGACCGGTTGCTAATTTAGCAACGAAAACGTCGATTAGAAACGCGGTGTAACGCCGTCAACCATTTGTCACAAAGTACATGTTGATATATAGTAATTCAGAACGTAATTTGTATTCACAAATGAACTTATAAAACGTTATCCCGCAACAACTAGCAGTTACAGAGCCAACTATGCTACACCAGCTAGCATGTTGCGTATTTTCGTTTTTTGGCTGTTTCTTATGAACTGCCATGAAATACAGTTTTCAGCTGTGTGTTCCGTGAAGCAAATGTTGCATAGAGACTTTCTTTGTGCTTCTCCCTTCATAGAAAACAGAAATGTTTTTAAATATTTTTTTAAAAAAAAGCGTTTTTGTCTGTGCAAGATGAAGTGAGTGCAACATTTCAGTGTTAAAACCTATGAAGACAAATGTACACAGCACAGTGACCGACTGAAACAAAGTCAACAAAAGGATAAAGCAGACAGGTAAATTACATACTTTGTTTCTTGAATTGTTATCATTAACTTATTTACCTATCAATGCCAGAATTAAATTAAAATTGTTGTGGCTTGTGTTTACAGTGGGTAATGACAGATGGGAGCACGGTAATGACGTGGATGACTGAGAGACACTACGCTACCTGACTAATGAAGGTAAGAAGTCATAAATGTCTGTTATAGCCCTACATTTATTTTATGTTTAAGCACATGCAATATTATTGTCTACTTGATTAGTATCTACTTGTTTGACAAATACAAGACGTTTTCATTTTCAAACAACACTAAGCCTAAACAAGCATCTGAATTATCTAAGCACTCAATGGCTGCTACGAAGCATACAAATGGTGTAATGTTGCGCTACCTCCAGAGGGTGGCGGTAGTGTCCCGCTACAGTTTGATGTTTAACAGCCACATGACCAAAAAGGCATCACAAGTCCCTGAACACTTGAAAGTCATCGAACATGTGCTTTTATTGTGGTCTGTAAGCTACTACGACAGCAGCTCTAGGTTAGGGGTTAAGGTTACGTACTGCTGCTTTAAATTAAACGTTTGTGTATGTTTTCACATCGTCACACCCGCGGCTCCTCTGTGAGAACAGCTCTGTTCATGTGGCTTCACTTTAACTATAATCAGCCCAGGAATGAGTGCGAGCAGCTCCTTGGCACACAGCACTCACTTTTATCTTTGAAGCTGTGCCTGTGTTGATTTGTCTTCATTTCTTTCTCTCTTCAGGAGATTTATTTTTTTATTAAAACCCTTCGACAGGATGCGGAAAACTAATAGCGAGCTTGTTCCAGATCAATTCATGGCACGCACAGGCCACGAGTGCCGTAGAATTCTGTTTTTAAATAGAAGAGAAATGTTGTTCTTAGTCAAGTTTACTGATACAAGACAAAAAAAGTTGCATCTTTTAAACAGAACTCTATAATCCACTTCTTATTCATTCATCTGTTCACACAAACACAAACGCAACAACATGTGCACAGACCTCAAATTGATACAAGGTTTGTTCTGGATTTGATTTGGCTGGTTTCAAGTGGCAGCTCTCCCTCCTAGCTCCTCGCTCCTCAGCCTCCTCCTTCCTTGGTTTTATGATTCTCTTCTCTTGTGGTTTGCACTGAATAAGCTGTTCTCAGCAATTATGGCAGATACAATTCAGTCTGTTAGTAGATCTCTTCTTAAACCCATTTCCAGTCTCCTAATAGGTTCCATACATCCACTTGCGGCCTTTCGGGTTAACCACTGCTGCCCCTTTTCCAGCCACTAAGGGTCCCCTCTATATGAAACAGAGATGGTATTTGTGTTGGACCAGGCCCCGGCCCTCTGCCACATGCCTCATGACTTCACCACTTATGGGGCAAGTAGGCAGGTGGTCACAAACCCATCAAATACACACCCACGTTTTGCTTACAGTCTTTAAAGTGAGCTTCTATTTAACACAGTTGCTCGGCTATACATCAAATACAAGGCAAAAAGTTTTCAGACCAAAAAACCCAAACTGTTTCTAATTAGTACTCAGTTTTAAATTTAACACTTCTACACTAACAGTGTTTCCTCTGAGGAGTTTCTTCTTTGTAGAATTCTGGGGGGTGTTTTTCTTACCGGGTCACGATCTGCTGTTATGACTTGTCTAAGAACTGAAATCCAGTACCTTTTTCAAATGTTCTCTCAGAGTAACTAGATCAGCACTTCAATGATTTTATGTTTTTATACTCAAGTCGCTGAAATGTTTTTGGATGAAACATTTAACTAAACATGGCAGTTCAGATTATCTCAGCATCTTCAACGCCCTAACCCTTCTTTTTTTCAGACGTTACGCAGCCTTTTGGTAAATTGTGTTTAGTATTTTGCAGAAATCCTTTTTTCCCCCATAACCCTAATAAAAGACTGCTGTAAGTCTTTGTATATTTCAGACTGGAGGCCGGCTGTGAAGCCTGTGTTAGAACACAATTAGGTCCAGATTTAGAGGTGGTTATTTTTCAAACTCCTCCTTTGAAGTGTCACCGGACCGAACATTTAACTACAACCTGCACACCAGCACCTTGCATGATTGAAGATTGTTATCATCTGTGTGTGTGTGTGTGTGTGTGTATGTGTGTGTGTGTGTGTTAGGGGCATAACCTAAGATTAAAAAACCCTGTATTTCTGACCAGTCCAACCAGTACTTCTTTGGTACAGAAGGTCATGTTTTACTAAAACTGTGAAGGTTTTTAAATGTTGTATTTTCTCCCTCCTCTTCCTGTTTTACCTTTTGT